AGTGGCAGTTACACAACACTCCTCGACACAGCCGTGAAAGTGACTATATGGGGTTTTTGGGCGAAAATACACCCAGAGGGGCTTACGCTCGATTTTGTTACGCTGACTTTACTTTGCTTTGTCACGCAAAATTTCTAATTTTATTTACATGATCCGATCAATGATCTGTAATCCAATCCGTGATCCGGTCTGAGAACAGATCTGGTCTGATCCGGTCCAGATTTCATCGAAGTACAGAAATAAGCAAATTGTCATCGTTCAAATTGAGGAGCGGTCAAAGTTGATTGTTACTATTACTGTGTTTGTTTTTCCATTGATGGGACAATTGTTAGTATCTTCAAAAGTTATTTGATCCTATTTTGAACAAAAATTTGAATTTTTTAGACAATTTTCATAGGCAATTACCAAAATAGATAGGTTAGAACACTCACAATTACCCCCAAACCTAATCACTAGTTTTTTTGTGTTGATAACATTAGATGATTGAAAATGGTTATCAAGAAGTCAGTTTAATGGCTTATTTAAACAAAGTTGAGCTGTTTTTTAACAAAACTGCTCCCTAAACAATCGTCAATTAAGCTGAATCTTCAGGACCATTTATTTTTGTGAACAGTGTTAATAGAGGCCAAAACATTTATCTTATTCAATCAACCCCCTTATGGAGAAAGCCTGAGGCCTACTGATTGCATAAAACCATGGTTTAGGTTAGACCGCCTGTAAATAACCAGCCCTTCCTGTCTATGGGGCATTCTTTAATTTACATTTTAGTCTGCATCTAGGCTGTTTTCACATGCCACTAGATTCAGAAAGCAGTTTGATTTTCTCACTCTCTTTACAATAAACTGGCTGATTGCTTGAATTGTGACTTTTCCTGGTGAAATTAACACATGCCCATGAACAGAGTGCTACTTATTTCTGAACATGTAAAAATATAACCAGGAGCTGATTTTGAAAATTCACTTGAAGCTTTTGGCCAATCAGAAAAGAGGTAGTGCATTTAATGTGTAATAATTAAGTTTAATACACACACTGTTTATGTTAAATGTTCCTTACACACCCCATTTAAGTTTATATATCACAATAATACATGGCAATAATTATTGCAATGTTTTTTGCATAAGAATTGTAGTTAAAGATGCTTAATTAAGTTATCCAAACCAGTTTTAGTCAGGCTAACCAGTTATTGTACCCGTAATCATTAACTTATTTGTCACAGTGTATGCCAATTACAGAGGCAGTCAAGAAGTAGGCTTTTAGTTGATATTCAGGTTATTACAATTACTTTTCTGTTTGTTTTCAACACTTGTTAGCGTGAGTGCCGATGTAGTTTCCTTCTATTTTTTATATTAGGTTATGTTATTAAATTTTAGTTTAAAAATATGGTTCTTCCTTCATGTTGGCTCTTTGGTCTTTTGTATTATGGAAAAACCTGAGTGGATATTTACCATCATGCTTCTTTGTGGTTTGGTAAATATCCACCACTAGCCATGTCCACTTCAGTGAAGAGTTGTTAATTTTTACCTGCTTGTGTTGCAATGGTATCATACAGATTGAATGTAGCCTGAATGTAATTCTTTTAATTCATCAGTCCTGCTGAGAAAAGTCTCAGTTAATAAATTATTTATTTTCAGGTAAATGATCAAAATGCCAGGGCATTTACAAATCCGATCCTATCACAGTCCAGACTATGAGGAATGCAGAGAGATCTTTTCTCAAGGGATGCAGCAACTTATCAGCATTACCACCTATCTCATTTTTTCAAATCTGTTCTGGTACATTACCATGGTAACCATTTTTGCTGTCATGGCCTCTTTCAAGTGGTCTATCTTGCCTTTGGTAGCATGTTTGTTCCTCTCTCTTATTTTATGGGCTCTTTTGTATGTCGTCATCTACCTTCAAATATGGAAGATCATCAACTATTGCTTAAAAACAGACTTGTTGGACATTGAAAAGACCTACATGTCTAACAAAGGCTGTCACATTTGGGTTGCTGAATGGAATGGTCAAGTTGTAGGAATGGTGGGACTCATTCAGAATGAAGACCACAAACCAGGAATAGCAGAGCTTCAGAGAATGTCTGTCTCCAAAACTTGTCGAAAAATGGGAGTCGCAAGCAAATTGCTTGAAGAACTTCTCAAGCATTCCAGGCAGCAGGGTCTTGAGAAAATTGTTTTGAAAACTTCAAATGCTCAAGGACCAGCTGTCAGACTCTATAGGAAGTTTGGTTTTAAGCTTATAGAAGGAAAACCTTTCATTCCCAACTTCATCTTTAAAAGTCTGATAATAATGTCTTTTGAACTTGAACTCTGATAGATTCAAAACACAAGGTTTAAAAGTGCAGGTTGCAAGTTCAATTACATCTTCAGGTTAAGTTCCTTTACTCCAAGCCATTTTCTTAAGTAGCAATTCAGACAAAATTTTTTAGGTTATAAGGAAAAGACTTGAAGGTGACTTGGGTCAAATTCTTGATTCCTCCATGAATCCTTGAATCCTTTGTGGTTCTCAGCTAAGCTGGCCTAATTCATTCAAGGTTAAACTTTGAAACAAGAATTAAACATAACAGGAAAATTATATCAAAAAAATAACAAGAAAAGTATATCAAAAAAATTTCTGTGTTTAATCTATGCGAAAACAGTCAACATAGCTATACCTTGGAAATGGTTGTCTCTTGTCGAATACTGAGTGCTACAAGGGATACACAGTCTTTCATAAGGACTTAATCTGATGCCAATGAATCTTTGAAGATGTCCAATAAATAATAGGAATTTCTTTTATTAGGAAGGAAAAATTTCTGTCATAATTGTCTATGAGATATCCTTGATCAAGATTTGTACCATAATGATGTGATTAATGAGCAAAGCTGAGTTATTGCCTTAATATAATCACATTTCTGCGGAGAGAAAATAATGTCACAAAAAAAAAAAAAAAAAAGGGGTCGTTGTCCCTTCCTCTAATGCATATGTCAAAAAATTTGACAGTCATAATTTCTGTATGTCTGTCTTATATAGCATTTAACCCTTATTGATAAAGGTGATAGGACTGGGTGGAGTTCAATTCGGTCTGTAATCATATGAGTGATTAACAAAATCGGACGAGCGCAAAGCAGGAGTCCAGTTTGTTAATACGATTACAGAGAGAACTGAATGACACAAAGTACTGTTACCAATTAATCATAACAGTTACAATTTCCGAAAAAAGCAAATACATTTAGGACAAAAATTTTTGGTAGAGACAGTGACTATGGTTTAAAATCATAAAATAAAATCCTCCATTTTAAAAATTCTCCTTTCTTTTTTAGGATTAGTGGTTGTTACTATATTATTGAGAACAATTCTGTGATTGGTGGATTTGACTGAGTGGACTTAGTGAAAAATTAAGCTGCTAATGCACCAATCACATTTGAGGAAGTAATGGTAATGGTTATGATTAACATAATAATTCGATAGCGATTCCGCTCATGCGTTCTTTTAAGGTGAAAGCAGTCATTTTCATCTGCAGCCTACCGACGTGATAGGATTTTTCGGATTAGCAATTTAAGGATGCAATTATTGCTCTTCTTTGAACGAAAAACCCCTTTCACCTCGTCTTGTGATCGTAGAGACATCCCGTGATCCAAATTCGCCGACGAGAAATGCTTCGAACTACGTAACTGAAAGATGATTTTTTTTTTGCACCGAAAATGACGAAATGCGGGGGTACACACTTCTACTCTAGCCGATCTCTGCTGAAAGGGTTAAATATTTCCGACGAGTGATCACACTTTGCTAATAGAATAACTTTAGGTATATCATATTATCAGCTTTTGACCGTCAAAATACAAATAAGCGGATATTGTTATTTTTATCTCTTACAGTAACAGAGCTACTTTGCGAGACTTTGTCAGCAGTAGCTTACCATTAGTAGCAGTAACTCAAAGTGGTGCAAACAAAACACATACTTTAGAAACAAATATTTTCAGTTATACTTAAGGAAAAAGTAAGTGAAGTATTAGTATAATTTTTTTACATTAATTTGGCGCCTTGAAAAGTTGCTTAATGTATGGTATTGAGCACTTGTCTTGTGAAAAAGCAGATGGTTTGTCTTGCATGTGGCAACGTGGATCATTTAGTTGAGTCAGCGAAACCAACTCAATTGCAAGCGAAGTGAAACAGTTCTCAGTTCTACGCGTGTTTCGTAGATCAGTGTTTTTATGACCAATGCGGCCCCGCGCGCGCTTTATACTGGAAACTATTACGTTACTATAAAATCCCCTTAGGTCCGTATACCATGGCGCGAACAGAGATGGAAAAGCTGCCCGGCCAACACAGTGGTCAAAGGCCGCGCTCTAATTTCCCGCGCAAAATCTCAAAGCGAAAGTAAGATGAAATGTTCATTGAAATCTGTTAAAGGAGAGAAGGAAATTGAGACTTAAATAACGTAAAGCTTATTCAAGTACTGGTGTCCCGTTTATCTACCTTTCTGGATCTGTTTTGAGCTTTACCCAAAAAGTTATACGCTTTTATTGCATTGTGACTTCAGTTCTTTGTTTCTCGTGTGAGATGACTTAGTTCTGTTTCTTCTCTTCGTCCGCCGTCAGAGGTCATGTTTTGTTGCCTTGCAATCACAGATCTTTGTGTCGGTCTGATTTCTCATAGCCGATCTTTGCCGTGGAGCTGCTTCTCCAGATGAGCGAACAGCAACATCTCTTGAATATGAAATCGATCTTCGCAGTAATGAACACTACTTAGG